TTCCTGGGAGAATCTCAGGCGCTTTGCACATCAGAAAGTTTTCTTTCATCAAAAGCATTTGTGCTGTTGCCAAAAGTCTTCAGCATGACCAGGGAGCCCTGTTTCTGCAGCTGGCAGTGGGTGGATGTTACTGGCTTGGCTGTCCCTGGCCCAGGTACTGCTGCTGGGGACTCCCCAGGCTGACCCCTCCAGTGCCTTCCCGTGGGCACTGTCCCTCATTTCAACATGTTGGCTTTGAGGAGCTGCTCTCTCACATCCTAACCCCTTGCAGTCAGAGTAGGAAGTATTTCATAACAGAAGTAACATGTACAGTTCAGGGAAAATAGAGCACAGTGCACAGATGCACCCACACCCCATAGCAGTGTATCTTACTGCTTTTCAAAAGCAGAGCAGAAATACTTTCATATCCTTCTGCCTTCCCCATGTTACAAGCAGCAGTTTCGTTATCTCTGTCCTGTGTCAGATCCAGGCTGTTATTTGTGGCAGGGCTGTTCCTCATGCAGTCAGTGGATCTTTGCATTTTGTTCTTAGTGGTGCCATAACCTTCTCCTTTCTCATTTTTAACTTCTAGCATCACTTCTATTTCCCAATTTATTTGCTTTGCTCTCCTTTTTATCATTTCCATGCACCAAAATAACACACATCATGTCACAGCTTTTTGAGCTGAGACCCTGCTAGAGTTTTGTTCATTTTTAAATGATTTAATGCTTTATTTTTACATGACGATTTTATAGGAGGTTGCTCCAGTGGGGGTGAGTTATCATTTCTGACACGTTGGTTCCCCCCACATAAGTGATTGAGTAGCTGAAGTCTGTGAAGTCAGCAGAGAGAAGCTGAGCACTTTGGCCATCCCAGATTTATACCCTGGATGAGCTTGTAGTCAGGGTCTAAATAGAAGATCTTTCTGCAGAGTTTATTGTAGGAGCCAAATTAAAATTAATTGTCTCTGACTGACATCTAAAAATCCCTGTTGAAAAAGTGAACAACCTCCTTTTCCTCATGGAAACCCTCTTCAGGGTTTGCCTTGCTCCGTGTTGCTGGAGAGAGACTACAGTCAAATTAGAGTGTGATAAAGGAAGAAAAAAATTTGATTTCTTGCTGGTGAGCAGAGAAAAAGGGAGGGTTTGGTGAAGGAGAGCCCTGGGCTTCAGTCTGGCTGCTGGTGGTGCCAGGAATGCTGTGCTGTGGAGTCAGGGGTGGGAGAGGGGCTGGAGGATCATGGTGGATGGGAGCTGCTGGAGAGGCTGGAGGGCAGCCCAGTGCCTGGAAGGTTCCAGCAATGGGAAGAAGCTGTTGTGTAACTGCCACAGGGCTGCACGTGGTTCAGAGAAGATGAAGGATGCTGGTGAGGGAGGATGGATGAAGGTTACTGGTGAACCACGAAGTGACAACACTGGAGCAGTGTTCAGTGACATGTCTCACATGGTGCCCAGGAGTTTAACCTGCTCAGCTCTAACAGGAGAAAGTTAAGGTCCTGCTCAGTTGTATATAAATACCCTCGTGGGAAATGGACAGAATCTGATCTGAGGCTCCTTCAGCTTAGTCACCAAGTAGTGAAATGCAGTGTCTGAAATACTTCCAGCTCTGGATGCTGAATTAAGGTTACTAGTCACTAAACTTGGCAAATTTTAACCTTTGAGCTGATTTCTCCAGGCTTGTGGTGGGTTTTCTTGCTGAAATCACTGCTCAGGCTAGCTGAAAGTGCTCTCCAGCCCTGAGAGGTGCTGCTGTGCCCTGCTGCTGGATATCCATATACATCTTCCATATCTAAGCAGCTGCTTGCATATGGAAGCTGTGGTTTGGATTACTGTGCAGTATGGGGTGCATCCCAAGGGGATGCTGTGGCTGTGAGGCTTGGACTGTCCTCTGTCCTTTGGGCACCTCCAACCCCCTCCTTACAAACTGCTGCAAGTTGGCCCTTTCTTTGGGCAGTCCCTTGGAGAAACCATCTCTTCTGGCCAGGACGTAGGGAAAATGGTGGGAGTGGGTCTGGGGGAGGGAGGAAATAGAGTAGTTTGCTTTTCACCCCTCCAGCTATGTCACTTCTGACAGCACCAGAGGCCGATGCCTGGCCCGAGGGCTGGTGAGCGAGGACAGCTTGGGCATGTGGTATTTCTGCTTTGTTTCTTCTGTTTTTGCGACTCAACTGCTGTCCCCTCTGAAGAGCGGCAGAGGGGAAATGCCAACCTCTGAGGCCAGGAAGGAGCTGCCCTGGGGGAAGGAGGAGGAGGAGGGCATCTCAGTGCACTTCTCAGAAAAGAAATGGCAAAGCCTCATCCTTCCTAGGCCGCCCACGGGGCCACTGCTGCCCAGCCCTTGGCATCTTCGTCAACGCCGATAGTGATCAAAGCGTGAGCGTGTGCTGCGCCCAAGCTCCCTCCTGCTGCAGGGGACTCAGTGCAGCCCCTGCCCAGCACCCAGTCCCAGCTCAGAGGCTTTGCTGTGGGTTTTGCTGTCCCAAAGGGAGATTTTTCTTTGGGTCTGTGTCACAATGGGCTCAGTCAAATCACACTGTGTAGGATGCTGGGATAAACACAGCTTAGTCCTGCTTTTGCCATGTCGCAGCCCCAGCATCCCCCAGCCAGGGACATGATGTGCTCTGGGCTGCCTGTGTTGCTTGCAGATAAGTCTGACTCATTCTCTATGTATTAAGAAAAAGTAAATAGCACTGGGTATTGTTTTAGTGAAGCAAAATGAGATGGATGAGCGTGAGGGCAGGGTGGATATCAGCAGTTTTTCGGCTGTAGGACTTCCTGCTGCCCTGCTGGGAAATCTCCTGTGCCACTTATGACCAATTCACTGGATTTAGGAGTGGAAGGTGAAGTTCTGGTTTGTACTGCCTGCACAAGGTACGTCTTTAAGTGCTGATCTTGACACCTCCAGAGACATGGACTGCCATCCTTTAAATCGTTGGGAATCGTTGGCCTGGGAATAAACCAAGTGCTGTTCTGCAGTTCATGAAGTCCCTAGGTGCCACAGCAGCACCAGCTGCGTCCCAGGCAGACACAGGACATCTGCAGAGGGATGGAGAGGGCTCCTTTCTGCTGTTAATATCACCTGGGGCTTTTGTCCCTGACCTGTACTCATTAGTAGCATTGTTCTCCCTGTCCAAATAACCTTTTTAGTCTGGGTGCGAGGGATATGGCTATGGAGACTAACTCTGCTCCCATGGTGGGACAGTGGATGCTCATGACCTGCACTGTATGTGGAGGGAAGGGAATTCCCATCCAGGTCAGGACCTCTGTCTTGACTGATGCCTAGCCATGCTGAACACTTCTCTTTGCTGTGTGGTCTTTATTGTGCTCAGGATTTCCAAGCTGCATTTTGGTATGTCTCTGGTTAATGCAGTTTTGCCACATATAGGAGCTCAGATCCGGCAGCCTGTTGCCTCCCAGCACAGTTTTGCTTAATCCCAGGGTAATCCCAGTGCCTTGCCACGACCAGGAGTTAAACAGAAATTTGCTTATAATGATATCCAAATATACCTGGCTATATCCTTGTGCTCACAGCTGCTGTAGAAGACCCAGAAATGGATCAGAGGACCTCAGGTTTGAATTATGGGATCACAGAGTACTCAGAGTTGGAAGGGACCAAACAAGGATCATCCTCTCTGCACAGGACGATCCAGCCAATCCCACCCTGTGCCTGAGAGCATTGGTCAAACACTCCCTGAGCTCTGTCAGCCTTGGGGCTGTGCCCACTGCCCTGGGAGCTGTTCAGTGCCCAAACACCTCTAGGGGAAGAGCCTTGTCCTGGTATCCAACCTAACCCTCCCCTGGTACAGCTTCACACTGCTCCCTCTTGTGTTTCTTTCCATCCTCCCAGCCCCTCCACAGCGGCTTTGCCGCAGCTGCCCCACCGGGAAGCAGCTCAGCGCCTCTCCCTCTACCACATTCAGCCTGGAACAGCACTGTGAACCGCTGCTGCCGCAGTTTCCTCCTCCCTCACTACAAGTGAGAGGAAGGAAAGAGCCCATGTCTTACTGGGCTATTTGTATTTGTGGTTATGGTTGCTCAGGAAGCAGCGTTCTCCTTGCTGGGCGATGCTCCCTGATGGCGCTCAGCCCTGCGCTCATCAATCCTGCTCCCCACGGCCAGTCTTCACCCTCAGCAGCACAGCAGGGCCAGACTCTCAGAGGTGAAGGGAGTCATGGAATGGTTTAGGTTGGGAAGGACCTTGAAGGTCACCTAGTTCCAACCCCCAGCCATGGGCAGGGACACCTCCCACCAGAGCAGGTTGCTCCAAGCCCTGTCCAACCTGGCCTTGAACACTACCAGGAATGGGGCAGCGACAGATTCTCTGGGTCACTCCATGCCCTTGTCCAGGGTCCCTCTCCAGCTCTCTTGGAGCCCCTTTAGGTACTGGAAGGTGCTCTTAAGTTTGATAATCCTCCTCGCTAGAGCAGGATGGGTTTTTCAAGGCACCACGTGAGTCCAGTGACTTCTTGCTGAGGTCAGCAAGGCTCCTGGCAGCTCTGACCACTTCTGCTGTGCTGGTCGCTTACTTGACTGGCTCCCAGGTGCTGGGGCTTTCCCTGGAGGATTCGATACTCTGGCCAAGTATTGATTTATTTGAGCAATCTGCTGGAGTCATCCCAGGCAGAGCCATGGCTTTGTGCCATCACACAGGCTTATGGAAGTGGCTCAAAGGAAAATTGGAGCATCACTGAATTCCCAGGCCATTGTGGCTGTTCCTCACTGCCAAGACATCACACTATCTTGGTGTGTGTTGGCAAACAGAGAGAGTATGGAGAGTGGTGAGAGTACTGTAGGAAAGTTAAAAATTGCATCTGTCATTAACAGCAAGTACATCTGAGCTGCTTGGAAACTTTCCAGTGGGATCTTTCTCCACTGGAAAATGTTGAGTCATTGAAAGTACAAAGTTGTGTGGCAGCAGGGGGACTTTCCCCTGGGGAAGGCTCCTGCCCGGGTTATTCAGCTACAAGCCTGGCAGAGAGCCACAGAAATAGTGTGAGTTCTGGTGAGCAAACACTTGTTCATGACAGAGGCCAAGTCTGGTTTTGCAACCTCAGCACTAGTTTTGCTTGTCTTGACATTGGTCTTCTCCCCCTGGGCCATGGCAGACCTCTCCCCGGTTTAAATTCATCTCGCTTAGCACCTAGATGGTATATAAAGATATTTCTATGACATGTCTGTATGTTTGATAAATTTGTAGCCTTTGCAGCTGGGAATAATGATTGGGGGGCAGACAGTGTGACCTGTAGGTGTGCGATGAACCCCTGTCAGCTCACAGCATTGTCTCTTCCTTGGTACCTCCGGTGTGGCAGGCAACACACGAGTTGGTGTTTATGTTCTGTGCTGCTTAATAGACCATGTGAGTGAAAACCAGCTGGATTTATATTTATTTTTCCTCTCCAATCTTTAGTCCCACGTCTCTGCAGTGAGAGATGCTGTTTCTCTTGGTTTTGCTTTTGGGTTAAGACTGGGAGACGCCCCCAGTGCCAGCACCCCCTGAACAGTGCCATGGGCTGCAGTCAGGCTGTGTGGTGTCCACACTGCACCCTCTCCTGCTGGAGAAATCTGTGGCAGTGTGGGGTGGGGGAGATACAAACATGGACTTTTCTCAGATATTTGTTAGGCTGTTTGCTTGAAATTTCTCCCATAACTTTTCTCCCTGGGATTGTGTGGGGTACCCAGGTCCCTGGGAAGGAAGAGGAGGAAGGGGAGGGGAGGATGCTGTTTCCCCTTTGGTCTTCAGACTCTGGTCTGCTGGAGCTGAAGAGCACCACCTCCTCTCCTGGGGTGAATGGAGGCCTGGCAGCCTTCACACAAATAATTTCCTGCAAGACCATCTGGAAGGTGGCCTTGATTGCCGAGAAGAGCCAAAACCTCGGGGAAACACCTTGGGCCATTGTCACCATTCGGGTCCCAGAAGTGAACGGCAGATGTCAGGGGAAGGAGGCCGCAGAGGGTTTCACACTGGGGTGAAGGACCCTACATCCCTTTGCATGGCAATTCTCCTCTCTCTGGCTAATTTTCTGGTGGGGTTTTAATACATGTAATGAAAATTTGGAGGTGCTTACAAATGGACTAAATGCTATGTAGGCTTGTCGGCGATGCTGCAATGGGCTCTGCTGTGATGCTGCTGGGCTGATGGCATCTCCAGGGTGTGGGGAAGCTGGGTGGGTGCAATGCAGCTGGAGGGGTTGGATGTCAGCCTGCCAGGGGGCTGAATTTTGCAGGATTTGAGTGTGTTTGTAGTTGGGATAGTGCATCTGGGACATTTGAGCCGGGGGCTGGCAGGACAAAGGGATTGCACTGGTGGATTTTCTGCTTGGGCAGAAGGAAGGTGAGTTCCACCCGTGCCAGGTGCATCCCCCTGGCCTCTGCACACACACCTGGCAGCACTGACGTGTTGGCTATTCAGCTGGTACCTGGGGGAGAGGCATCCGGCCAAGCTGGGTGCATCGGGCTACGGGAGCACGAAGGTGCTCAGGTCCAAACGGTGCTGCTGTGATAAGCACCGTTGTTTGAGGTTAGATTTGTCCAGAATGAGGGCGTGAGTTTTTTTTCATCCACCATGATCTGGTGCATGTGGTGAACACCTTCCGTCGACCCCTTTGTGTTGTTTGTCCCTCCTGTGACCTTCTTGAAGGGGGCTGTGAGTGACAGTGTCTGTGTGCCCTGCAGCTGGGCTGTGCCTGAACTGCTGGAGCCTGCAGGAGCTGGTGAGCCGAGACGCTGGCAACTACCTCATCCTTGTGGAGAAGATCCTTGGCAAGACCAAAGAGGTGAGCTTAGGGGCTGTCAGGGAGGGCTGCAGCCTTTGAGGCAGTGACAGCTCTGATGCTTGCTCCAAGTGGATTTTTGCAGAGCTTGGTGGGTGATTTTGGGTTGTGGTAAGGTATTGCTGGAGCATCAGCACTTGTTGTCTGGTGGGTCTGCAGGTACAAAACTCTGGTGGGGGCAACCGTGTGTCCCACTGGCTTTTAGCTCATGGGAACTGGGAAAAACCCAGCTCTACTACCTTCTCTTTGGGCAGTGCTACAGATCCACAGGGCTGGGTTTTGATCTTCCAGAGCGCTGCTCAGTGCTGTGCAGGGGCAGCCCAGACCGTATGGCTGTGTGTGGAGCCAGCCTTCCCCAGCTGTAAGCTGGGAGCTGCTAGTCTAAGTAGAGCGAACAGAATGTTTCCTGTTGTTTTTGATGGAAACTTTTTTGCAGCTCTGGCAGGCTTCCTGCGGAGCAAGGAGCAAAGCTGGGACACTGGGGACTGTGGGGGTAGGGTTTGTGCCATGCAGCAGCCTGGCAGGTGAGAGTGGGGTCAAGCACAGTGGGGAGGCAAAACAGCAGTGGGGCTGATCATATTGACCTACCACAATCCCATCATATGCCAGGGAAGCTTGAGACATTGTCAGTCGAGAAGGGTCACCCCAGGCTGTGGCTAGGAAGACCTCAGAGGAATCCCTTGATGTGGCAGGAAACAGTGATGTGTTTCCTAAATCCCCAGTGTTGGGATTCATGTGATGGGGTAAATACTGCCTTTCATTTTTTGGGAAAAAAGGGCTGTGGAGCTGATAGCACAAGTTTAGCACAATTTAGTTTAATTCATTTATATATTGTTTTAATGGCTGGAATTGATATAGTTGCAGACAGTGGTTTATTGCATTAGGGCTTATGTAAGGGTTTATTGCACTTTGTGCTGTGCTCATGAACAAGGGGAGACTGTCTGAAAATGTATCCTTGAGCCATCACCATGTCCCTCAGTGAAATAAATAATTCTGCTGGGTATTCCCTGGCAAAGCCTGGGATGGAAATACATGGATTTCACTGTGCTGCCAGGCTTCGCAAGCTGCTTGCAGGGGCTGGGCTGTCTGCTTTGAACCACTTCCAAGGAATTCCATGGAACTCTGCAAGGATCAGGATCATCAGTGGGCCAGGAGCTTGACCAAATCGGGGTAAAGGCGGAGTGGGAGGTTGTGCTGATCTACCTGTCCCACTGGTGTGGTTTAGTGAGGTTTTAGCAGGGTTTTTTCCCATTGAGATGAGGGAATCTCCTGGGCACAGTGGTGTAGTGGTGTGGGTTGGGTGATTGGCTTCATTTCCGGGGAGTGTCCTGGTGCCTCCAAGGATGCTTTCAGGTAGCACTTATATCAAGCAGCCCAGCTTATCCTCATGCCCTTGGGCTGTTTCCTACAGGTGCAGGAGAAGTGTGACTACGACCTCGTGACGCCCCTGGCTCTGCTCTTCTATTCCACAGTCCTGTATGTAAGTGCTGAGGCAGCTGCATGGAGCTTGATCCCAGCCCCAGGGAGGCAGTGGAGCCACACAGAGCAGTCACCAAAATCAGGGTGGCTTTGTCTGAAACATCACAGTCTGCTTTGGTCAATTCACCTCAAAAAATGTTTCTGTATGAATCTGTAGAGATCAAGATAAAGCTGCACAAGCTGAGAGAGCAGAAAAATGAGCTTCACAGTTTTTAAGCTTTTATTTTTAGGCCAGGCTAATCAGAGAGAGAGAGACAGACAATACCTCTGAGCAGAGATGGCTTTTTTTTTTCATTACCCTTTATACTTGTGCAAAATGTATAGGCAATGTGAATGAAAAGAAGGAGCAGAACCTTCACAGGAAGTACTTTTTTAATAATTATTATTACTAGCAGAATGCATCATTATCCCAAGGAAGTCGTTGCTGACAGGTCCTGGAAAAGCACAGGCTGTGATGCCATTCATCTGTGCGGATCTGTGGTGGTTAAAAAGAAATTTATATATAGGCTTTGGTATGTGAGCCACAAGCAGGAGGCTGGGGGGGTATAGAGAGGAAGGAGCTTTCTTGGAGCTATGCCCAGTGGGGATCCTCTGACCCTTCCTTGTGAGAAGATGGGGTATCACAGGGTGAACCTCTGCTCTGCTTCACCTGCTCCTACTTCCAGCATAAACCCTCGAGTTTTGATGCAGCACTCGAGGTCTGTACCTTTGCTCCCTCTGTAACTGTGTCTCCCTGTCCCCTGCAGGCTCCCCACTTCCCGCCAGGCTCCGATCTGCTCCTGAAAGCTGCCAGTGTGTACCACAGCTTCCTGACCTGGCCCGTGCCCTACTGCGACATCTTTCGTGAGCTGCTCACCTTCATCAGCAATGAGCTGAAGGCTCCTGGTGAGCACTCATGCCCTGCACATGCTGCTGGCACTGCATCCCAAAAACTCACCCTGCCCTGATTACCCTGTTTTTGTTCCTGAGACTCTCCTGGTGGTATTGTCTCATTCCCCACTTGCTTCATGAATCCTGTGAGCGTAGTGTCTACATTTACCTTGGGCATCCCAAACCTCAGCTTTTCCAGGAGGTGAGGACCTCTTCCCTCCATCCTTGGGATGATTTTTCCCTGGTGGCCCAACACAGGGTGAGATCAGATTCCTCTGGAGGAGCAGGGCAGGGTGGTGTTTTTGGTGCCTGCCTTGTGTGTAAGTTGGTGGGAGCATCCTGGGGACTCCCAGCTCTAGACCAGTGGGAATTAGCAAAATGGGTAACTATTTCCTGGCTGCCTTTCAGTCTGGTGGGTCTTTTCCATGGCAGAGCATGTGCTGGCTGCTCCTGCCCAGCCCTGGGCTTTGTTCAAGATGCTCAGTGGTGCAACTGCCATGATAACAGTGGATCCATTCATCAGCATCAAGGTGGTTGGAGCCTCTGAGCCTGCCCTTGCATGGAGATTTCCATAGGGCTGAGGGACTCCCCAGCTCGTTCTTTACAGCTGAGACACTGCCTTGTGATACAGCTCTGGGCACATCCATTGGCAGCAGCAGTGCTCCTCTTAATTAAGGACTCCTCGTAGATGTCCCGTTGTTCCCAGTGGAGCAGTTCTTCCTATTATTTCTAAAAGGCCCTTTCTCCTAATCTCCCTGTGTTTTGGTGGCTTTTGAAGGTCTGTTACCACACAGAGCAGATTTCAGCTCTTGTTTAATCCTGCAAAGGGCCATGGCAGCAAGACTAGCTCTGAGCAGGGCTTGAGTCGCCTTGGAGGGGGATTTGGGCTGTTGCTGAGGCTGGGGGTGCTCTCCACCTCCTCAAATTGGGCAGCTGCTTTGGAGAGCCTTGATAGGGATGTCAGACACAGGGTCTCTGTCATGGCAGCAATGTCCTGTGGACATGGGAGCTTGTAGGTGCAGATGGAATGAAAGGTGCTTTCAAAGAAACAAAAAGGGAAAAAAACCAAACAAGCCCTGTGCAGTGTGGGCACTGGCCTGGCTGCTTTCCCCACCAGGCGGGGTCTGGCTGGGCTCCTGTGCTGCGTCTAGCCTCCAGCTTGAAGCCACAGGGCCAGCACAGGTGTGCGGACACTCATCCCACACTGATGCACCATGGGCTTCCCCAGCTCCTTCCTGGTCGTTTGTTGCTGTGACACCGATTGGGGCTGTGTTTTACAGACCTCAAGGAAAGCTCCAGTGCCTGGGGGGGCTTGCTGCATCCTGCTCCTGTGTCATCACCACCATCACCTGTGCTTGATTCTATGTGAGCTGAGGACTTGGGTCCAAAAGCTTTTCCCCTCCTATGAGCCTAATGGATTCCCCCACCCCTGCCAAAGATGCCATGTGGAAGAGGTTGACTGCAGGGGCTGGGAAGCCTGGTGCTGCCCCTCACCGTGCTACTCCCCCCAGCTGGAGTCAAAACCAGCAAGGATGTGTCCTCTGCTGGTAAGCTGGCCAGGACCTCACGGGCTTGGGGCATGGCCTCCATGACCTGTCATGAGGCTGAAGCAAAAGCCTGTTATTGAGATGAGGGTAAATATTAACTGAGAACAGGCTGCTGTCAGTATTTGGCAAGAATGCAGTAGCTTTGATCTGCACACTGGGGCTGATGCTTCCGCAAGAGGAGTGAATGCTGCCGTGATTGGGAGCCTGTGGGGATCAGTGTGGGTGCTGGGCCTCCACTGTGGGTGCTGCTTCCAGGCTGCTGAGCTGGGTTGGGATGTGGCTGTCTGCAGTGATAAGGGGGCCATAAGATCTTTCCCAAGATGTACCCCTGTTCTGCTGATTGGGGGTGACATGTGCTTTGTTGTTGCCATCCAGCCCAGATCTATCCAGTGTCACCTGGTTTGAGTTCCCAGCAGCATCCTGAGGACAGTCCCAGGGAGGCATCCAGGAACGTGGCTGCCCACCCCACCCTCTCTCTGGCTGGGGCCACTCTGGGGTCCATCTCTATAAGAGGGAAGGGGGTAGTGATCTGCTGTCCATAAGTGACATTCAGGGCCTGGCAGGCTAAAGCAAGTGGGAGAAGCTGCTAGTTATCATCCGTGGAATTCCCCTCCCACATCAGCAGTGGGACAGAAGAGACTGGGGGTGGAGGAGTTCTCCCATCCCATCCTTTGGTTGTTTTCCCATCACTCTTGGCTTTACATCCCAAGCTCCCTTGCTCCTGGGCCGGTTCCCTTACACAATGGCTGTGCCCGGTCCCCATAGGGACTTTTGGTGCTGCCATTCCCACTCTGGGCAGCAACTCAGCCAGATCAGCACCACACTTGGAGACAAAGTCAACATGCTACCGTGGCAGAGCAGTCTGCAGTGGTGCCATGCTTCATGCCCTCTGCTCTCTCCCCAGGGATCTCTTTCCAGAGGCTGGTGAGGACAGAGCAGGGCCTACCTGTGAAGAACTACCAGAACTCCACTGTGTAAGTGTGGCCATGGGTGCTGCTGGGGCATGTCATGGTGGGTGCTGGTGAGAATGGCTGGATAGCTGGGCTGAGCTGTGGGAAATGATCAGGAGAGCAGCTGTAGCTCCCTACAGCTGTAGGACAGGGTCTGTGGGCTCCCCATGCTGGTTATTCTGCAGGACTGCTTGCTCTAGGGCTGCAGATCTGGGTGACAACAGCTGGGGAAGCCAAAGCCTCCTCCACAGGGAACTGCTAATCTCAGCACACATCAGGGAACAGCCAGGAAGCGCTGTGATCCCCAAATGTGGGAGCCACCACCTCACCTAGGATCAGAAGTGAGTCCATCCCAGTCACAGTGCTGGGATGAACGAAAGCCTTGAGACCTGAGTACAGTCAGACTTTGCTCCTTATTCAAGCACTGAACCTTTCCCCCTGCCCCAACGCCTTATTTGTAAATAGGGAAATGAGCCTGGGAGCTGTGTGCCATCCTGGCGTCAGTGCCAGCCCCAGGGACAGCTCTAGCCCCAGAAACACTCCGTCATGTGCAGCCACCTCTGCTTTGTGCAGAAAGGCTGTCCTGCTCTTTTGGCTTGTCCCCTCATGCCGTGCAGCTCTGGATCTACATTTTTATCCCAACCCAGCACCACTGGTACTGCTGTGTTGCTCTTCCAGTACAGCTCTGCTGTGTGGGCTTCTTGAAAGCTTGTGCCTGTTGCCTGAGCTTTCCAGAGCCAAGCGTGCCACGGCACATCCTTAATTCAGAGCCAGTTTTGCTCGGTGAGGTGGACTCCTCTCATCCATGAATGGAAGCACATGCTCTCTGGGCTGCATGTCTGGAAATTCAAAGTCTGTGTATATTCATGTTGTGGTCCAGAGCAAAAATGCTGGTGAAAGATGTGGCTCTTCTCCTTAAAGCCACGAAGTGATGCTCTGACCTGCATCTTGCAGGGGGATGATGTTTCAGGGGCCACTCTTGTGTCCTACCTCCCTTCATTGCATGTGCAGTTAGGGCAACTGGCTTTTTGGGCCAGAGCCCTGTTTGGGATTGACTGGCAGTTATTAGACTGGTGATATTGCAGACATGGCAGGAGAGATGATGCCAACGGTGATGCTGAGGAGCAGCATGGAGGATGCTCATCTGTTACCTGTGCCCTGCCTGTGGCTGTCTCTGCAGTGTGGGTCAGCCCCCCTGCATGGGTTTGTGCCTCTCCAGCTGCGACCAACATGAGACAACACTGCCATCTAGCATGAACCTGGTCGAGCGTATCATGTGCCACCAGTGTCTGAGCCTAACTGCTGTCCCCTTGTCCCAGGACGGTGCTGCTGCTCAACCGCTCTGAGGTGAAGAGCGAGTTCCTCTCCATCGCCAAGAAGCTGAGTGCCAGCGACCACCCGCAGCACTCCACACTCGTTGTGCTCCTCGAGCACCTCTACCAGGCCAACTTTGGCACCCACTGTGACCTGGACAACCTGCATCACCTCTTGAGGGTAGGCTCAGAGAGCTCCAGCTTCGGGGATTCTACGATGCCACGGGGAGCTGTTTCATGCAGCTGGTAGATATTCTGACCAAAATAGTATTTGATTGGCAGAGAGAAAGAAGTTTTGATAACACTTCTTGTAGGAAAAATACATGTCTCTCCCTTGTCTTCTCAGGTTAAACCTGAGATCTGCACTTGTGTTTTGTGAGCTGTGTGCAGGCACATCACGCGCATTTTACCCTTTTTCTCCTTTTCCCATCCCTAATTGGAGAGGGGGAGGTCCGCCAGATTTGAAATGCAGCAAAAGAGTTGGTTTGACCAGAGAAAGAGGGGGGGGAAAATGTGAAGAAAATCTCTTGGGTGTTTTCAAACACGTGTTTTTCTTTCTTTGCAAAAGTTTTGGGGGACTTGAAAGGGGTAGGAATTAGTGAAGGGAGAGAGTTACCCAGTTAGTGATCCTGCCCAAGGACCTGTGTGTCGCTTCTGCGGAGGTACCCTCTTAATCTCTCATGTTGCTCTGTTCCTCCCAGTCCAAGACACTGGAAGAGCTCTCGGAGATCTATGCCAGCGCTGCTGATGCACAGGAGATCGCAGCTGCTAGCAGTGACCCGGTGCTGGCCCGGGAGCGGCTGCAGGCCATGCTGCAGGACATCGCTGGGGCTGCCTCCTTTCCTGCCATCACAGGTCAGAAACCCCCCAGGCCCCTCTCTTCTCCAGGGTTTTCTGCCAGCTCAGCTCCTGCAGCAGCAACAAACTGTTTTGCAGAGTTTCAACCGAGTGCAACAACAACTACAATAAAAAAAAAGCACGAGCCCAGGTCCTATTTTGTAACCATGCAATGAGCCAGAAATGGTTTTACTAAAATGGCAACAAAAATTGTCCAGCCTTGAAAACATCAATCAGAAACTGATGGTGATGAAACAGCAGTGATGTCTGATGGCTCTTAGAGGGGTGAAATATCCCCTTGTCTCAATTGTATGCGACTGCGTGCTAGCGGTGGCAGCACCGGTGTTCTGCATGACCTGGGCCGCCCAAAACGTGCATGCAGTGAGTGGCGTCTCTCACTGGCCAGGAGAGCTGTCAGGGGTCATATTGGTGGTCCCTGCAAACTATGTCCTCTTCCTCTTCCTCTTCCTCTTCCTCTTCCTCTTCCTCTTCCTCTTCCTCTTCCTCTTCCTCTTCCTCTTCCTCTTCCTCTTCCTTCTTCTCTTCCTCTTCCTCTTCCTCTTCCTCTTCCTCTTCCTCTTCCTCTTCCTCTTCCTCTTCCTCTTCCTCTTCCTCTTCCTCCTTCCTCTTCCTCTTCCTCTTTCTCTTCTCAGGTGAGGCTCAGCCCCGCAAGCTCCACACCTTCCCCATCCCTGCTGCTCGCTGCTACACATACAGCTGGGACCAGGATAACTTTGGTAAGCAGAGGGGTCCCCCAACCCTCCTGATGAGACCACAGGGGAGGCTAAGCAGCATTTTAGTTTGGCTGGGGTGCCACATCCAGCCAAGTGTGTGAAGGAGCCAATAACAAGTTGTTGGTGCTGAAGGGAGAGGTGACACAGTGGGTGTCAGTGTCCCCTGGATGGGGGTCAGCTCAGGTATGACACCTGCTGTGATCCCAAGCAAAACTCTCATCCAAGCAGAGGGCACAGGATACTGGTGGCCCCAAAACATGTTTCTAGTGACAAATCATGCAAGACTTAATCTCCTGGATAGGGCTGTGCATTGCATTAAGGTGGAAAAGATTCATCGCACCTGAGTGCATGGGAATATTGGTACAACAGGACCTTGTTTGGTAGAAAGCACCTCTGCAAGGAGTAAACCTTGTTCGTGCCCTGAGAATAATTGTTGCTAGAAAAGCCTGACCACACAGAGATCCTGGGGCTTTGTGGGGTTGAGACATGTTGGACATGACAGCTTCTTCCCCCTCAGCAGGGATGGCCGAGTAGCGGGTGCCTTTGCTGTGCCCTTGGCATGGCCACAGCAGTTTTGGAGGGGAAGCAGTGGGTTCCCCGTCTGCCAAGCTGATCTCTGCAGCTTCCACATTCCTGGAAGACCTTTTCTGTTCCCGTGAAGGTTCAGTGTTCATTGCCTGCTGGACCACAGCTCTGGTTCGGGCTTTGCAGCGAGTCCTGCCTTGCCAGGAAGCCACAGTGGGTCGATCTGGGGATTGGTCAGCTGAATACCATGCTTTCCCCCTGCCCTCTGATTAAACCTGGATCAGACATGAGCATGTTGTGAAAGCTGTGTAGGAAGGAAGCAAAACTCCAACTGGTGTTTGCCTTTTGAGAACCCAAACAGAATGTGACCTCAGGGAGAGAAACATTTTGTTTTGCCTTGCAACTCAGCACCTTATTGAGATCTAAAAACATTCAGGAGGAGGTTTCCAGCTTCTTGTTTGAAACCATGCAGGATCGAAGAGTCTTGGCTGTGGTATAGTGGTGGTGTTGTCTGGGGTCATCACATCTGCAGTGGTTCTGCTGGAGCCCATTGCAGACACAATCTCCCTCTGGTTGCCTTTCAGATATCCTCAATGATGTCCTCAGCAAAGAGTGCAGTGTTGTTGAGCCCACGGCCTCAGAGAACGAGGAGGGGGATGAGGAGGAGGAGGAGGAGGATGTGGAAACCGACAGCTGTTCCTCTGAGCAGGATTCACTGCTTTCCCCCATCTGTGCCATTTCCAGTGACTCTGTGCACTCGGCGCTGTCAGAGGAAGGATCTAAGCCCTCGCGAATGTCGCTCTTCACCTCCTCCAAGGACTCCATCTCAGAGCTGACAGTGGTCTCCAGAAAGTCCCTGAAGTCCTTTGTCTCCAGTCTGAAGGACTGCATGGACAGTGGGTATGTGGAGGACAGTGATGATTGCTCCCTAGACATGGTAGGGAGGATGGAGCTGAAGGTAGAGAAGACGCACCACAAATACAGGCAAACACTGACCAACAAGATCTATAAACTGTTCAAGAGCAAAAGCCAGCTGGTCTTGAGGAGGGACCTGAAGGACTGCTCAGACACTGGCTTGCTCTCACTGCCTCTGCGCCGGGCCGAGAGCCTGTGCACCTCTCAGTCCAAGCAGCGCATCCCGGCGCGCTCCCGGCGCGCTCACTCGCTGCCACAGCATGTGCTGAGCCAGCGTCTGCCAGCCCTGCTGGTCCCACAGCACCTCAGCCTCCACCGGCGGCCCTTCCTTAGCTACGACGAGGACACCAAGGTGTCCACACTGCGTGTCGTGGTGTTCGGCTCCGACCGCATCTCAGGGAAAGTGGCCCGAGCCTACAGCAACCTCAGGTGAGCCGGGTGGTGTGTGGTCTGGCTGCAGGTACCTGGCCCCGCTGGGACACACCAGAGGGCTTTGCTCACCCAGCTCTCTCCATCTTCTCCCAGGCTCAAGGAAAGCACCTGCCCATCACTGACAAGGTACTTCAAGCTGCAGTTTTTCTACATCCCTGTGAAGAGGAGCTGCTTGGCTCCATCGACCCCCCTGATGCATCATCTCTCCTCATCCCTGGGGGACCTGCAGCTCCGGGCACAGGTAGGTGTCCTGCCTGCTGTGGGGTTTGCAGAGCCACCAGTTCTCTGCTTGGCCCCGAGAGTGGTGTGTGAGGAGGCTGGTAGGGCAGGCTGAGGGAAGCCTGGGGACCCTCGGAGTGAGCCCAGCCTGTGTGGTTTCAGGATCCCACCTTGGCTGGGATGGAGAGCAGCACCAACGACATCTCCCACTACATAGGCATGTTAGACCCATGGTACGAGCGCAACATTCTTGGGCTGATGAACCTGCCCATGGACGTCCTGTGTCAGGTATGTGTGTGCCAACTGGTAGGGCTTGGTGTCCCCCTGCCCTGAGGAACTGGGGTGCTGATAGGAGAAGCTTCTGCTTAGCACTGGGCCACACTGATCCATCACAGAAGACTGTGCTGCATGGACACAGGATGGAGATGGGTGGTTCCTGGTGGTCAGAGGGTTTCTGTCCCCAGTGGGATGGGATGGACGGTTCTGGGCTGCAGGTACCACATACCCCATCACACTTATTCCCTCACCACAGTCTGCCAAGCCGGAGTCCGAGCCCCAGGAGGACTCCCAGGAGCAGCTACCCATCCTGGCAGACATGATCCTCTACTATTGCCGCTTTGCCACGCGCCCTGTCCTGCTGCAGCTCTACCAGACGGAGGTAGGCAAAGGGGCTCAGCCCCATCTTGGTGAGGGGAAAGGGAGGGTCTTCTGCCTGTGCCAGCACCTTGGGACTTGCCTGTGAAGAAGCGGGGGTATGGCACAGTCACCGCATGCTGGTGAGGCAGAGCTCAGTCTCCTCTTGTTCCTCAGGTGTCCATGTGCTTTGCAGATGCTACTGGCTCATAAGCAATCCTTAAGTCACACAAGCAGTTTTCCATCCAAATACCTTTCCCCATGACATAATGCAATGCCTGTCAGTGCTGACAGGTTATTTACATTACTGGAAGTCTCTCTAGTGCTCTGCTTTCTGAACCAAACCCCTCCATAAAGCCTGTTTCCCACACCCTGCTCTGTGCCAGGGGTAGATATGGGGAAGGTTGAATGTGGGACTTCCACAGCTGCTTTGGGGACTGGCTGTAGTGAGGCTGTGGTGAGCAAAGCTGATGCTCTTGTGGGATTTGTGTCACCCAAAATGATGCCCAGATCCTGCTGTTGGCTCCTCGTGGGGCTTCTTTCTAGTGGGCTGTGGAGTTACCTGTAAGTGAAAATTAGGTTTTTGGGTTGTTTGACTTGCTGGTGGTCTGTTAAAACAGTCTGAAGTACACCTAAAAGCAAGTGTCACCCAAAGCTGCTGTTGTTTTGAAAACATGAAAGGATTTTCCCAAACTGACCTGTTTTCTGTGGGAAGGAGTGAGAGGGGTGAATGCTACCTGACACAGGCTGGTTCTCCTCACCACCAAGTCTTCACTCTTCTCCCTCTGGCAGCTCACCTTCATTGGGGGAGAAAAGACGACTGAAGTCTTCATCCATTCCCTTGAGCTGGGCCACTCAGCGGCCACGCGGGCCATCAAGGCATCAGGTCTGTAGCTGCTTCTGTACCCACCCACCCTGGGGGTCTGCAAAGCACATGGCTGGGTGGAGAAGGGAAAAGGGGCTGAAGAGAATGTGGGCTATAAGAGGTGTCTGACCCAGGCCAAGCAAAGATCTGGACAGCTCTTCCCTAATTTGGAAGTGGAGCATCCTGGTTCTTCCTCTTCAGGAATGAAGTCATGGCAATGCCTTATGGTTTTTGCTGCTGTTAACTCTAAAACATATTCACAAGAAAACAGCTTCAAGCCCGTTTCCTTCCTCTCATCTGCACCTGGCCAAACGCAGCTCTCCATCTTTTTCTTTTGCTGTTTTCTGTTTGTGCTTTGTCCAGGAGCATCATTTATAAAATTCCTCTTTCCATTTCCTTAGTTTATTGGGCAAAGCAAGGTTTTCATGTGTGCTTGGAGCCTTCCTGCATGTACTTTTATGCTATAAATTTATAAAATTAATAGTATCAGAGAGAAGAAGCAATGGCAGGAGCCTGCAATGTGGTCTTCTGCTCCCTGGGTACCCAGGACATCACGCTCTGTAGTGTGGTGCAGCTCACACAGACATCTCATGGTCAGCCCACAAAACTGCATCAAAACACATTGCTTCCTATTTTTTACCAACTGCTTTTCTGTGATCTCAACTTGTTGTTCTAAACAGAGCTCATAAAACATCCCCTGTATGAAGTGTCACCACCCCAATCCCCCAGGCTTGGCCAAGGCCTCTTCCCAGTAACTTGTGAAACCACCAATCCTGTCTCTGATGCTTTTTAACTTGGGTTGTCTGGCAGCACTCCACATCTGCAAAAAATTATTCAGGGGAAAAAAAAAAAAGGGTTAGGAAGTGTTGGGCATGGTATTTCAAGGCGAATTTAATGTGGGCAGAAATATGCCTGGAAAAACAGGAGCTGGGTTAGCAGTGTGGCCTTTTATTGCTTTATGTTTTCCCTGAGGCACGGACTCCTCTGCACTGGCATAGCCAGCACTGCTTTCAGTTCTGCAGAGCAGCTTGTGGTGCTTTGTGTGGAAATTTCTGCACTGGATTAATTGCTTTCTGGAGCTTTTAAGCCATCTTTCCTTCTTTTGCATTTTTGCTCCTTAGCTGTGTTCAGCAAACCACTTCCCCCTCTTTCTGCAGGTACTGAGTGTGCTGCTGTACCAGCAGCCGGTGAAGGATGGGGATAAAAAGCCACCATGTGATATTTTCTCCTTGTTTCATGCAGGTCCAGGCAGCAAAAGGCTGGGCATAGATGGAGACAGGGAAGCAATCCCACTAACACTACAGATTGCCTACAGCAAGGTGAGTGTGTGGGACTCACATAGAGACAAATGGGGCAGAAACCACTTCTGTGATGGGTAGGCAGGTCTCAGCTGGGGGCTGAGAGAGGCAAGGCTGTTTGCTGCAGGAGCCTGAGTCCAAGCCTGCACAAGCCAAATTCAAGCTAATTTTTTACTTAGTGGCTAATTGGGAGTAGTTCTCCCCTCCTGTTCTGCCCAGTAAAAACAGTGAGTGTGCAGTCAGCTTCCTTAGGATGGCTGTGTGTCTAGTGCCACTTTGCATCAGTGGACTTTGCTTCCAGGGAGCAGTCTTGTGCTGGGCATAGCAATATTCCTGTTTTATTGGTTTCTCTGCAGATATTTAGTGGTTTTGCCTGGGCAATTGTTTTTGTAAATCCAGGGTTAAGTGAGTTTTAGTGCCTGCTCAAACTTTGTGCAGCTCCAAGTAAATCCTGATGTGAGCCAGCACATCCAGTTGGTATGGGGTGGGAGGGTAGGGTGACATCCAACTGGCATGTGCCATCTGTTCTTGAGTCACAACAGCCCCACACAGCACTCCAGGCTGAGGGCAGAGCAGCTGGAAAGCTGCCAGTGGAAAAGGACCTGGAGGTGCTGGTTGAAGGAGGCTGAACATTAGCCCAGGTATGCCCATAAGGGCAAGAAAGCCAGTGACACCTGACTTGTATCAGAAAATGTGTGTCCAGCAGGACCAGGGCAGTGCCTGTCCGCCTGTGCTGGCACTGCTGAGGCACCTCCAATCCTGGGTGCAGTTCTAGGTCCCTCATGACAAGAGGGGCTGGAGGTGTCCAGGGAAGGGAATGGAGCTGAGGAAGGGGCTGGAGCACAAGGAGCAGCTGAGGGAGCTGCTGGAGAAGAGGAGGCTCAGGATGTTCAGATTGTATCTTAGGAAATATGTCTTCACTAAAAGGGTTGTAAAGCCCTGGCACAGACTTCCCAGGGCAGTCAATGCATCACCATCCCCGGGGGGTACTTAAAAGACAGTTAGATAGAATCATAGAAATCAGCCAGGTTGGAAGAAACCTCAAAGAGTCCAACCCTACCATTGTTACTAGACCATGGCACTAAGTGCCACAACCAGTCTCATCTTGAAAAACTCCAGGGATGGTGAATCCACCACCTCCCTGGGCAGCACATTCCAATGCCTGACTACTCTCTCTGTAAAAAAT